TTGGAAAGGGTGCAACATAGGGCTACAAGAATGATTCCTGGTCTTAGAGGAATGTCTTATGAGGAGAGGTTAGCTGAGCTGAATCTGTTCAGCCTCCAGCAAAGGAGACTAAGGGGGGACATGATCCAGGTATATAAGATTCTTACAGGTCTGGATGCTGTTCAGCCAAATGGCTATTTCAATATTAGTTTAAATACTAGAACTCGTGGCCATAGGTGGAAATTAGCGGGAGAACATTTCAAACTGAATTTGAGGAAGCACTTCATTACACAGCGTGTAGTTAGAGTATGGAATAGTCTTCCTGTTAGTGTAGTGCAAGCTAAAACCCTGGGTTCCTTTAAATCAGAGCTAGATAAGATTTTAACAACTGAGCTATTAAGTTCTCCCCAGACGAGCTTGATGGACCGAATGGCCTCCTCTCGTTTGTAAATTTATGTTCTTAATATGTTACAGTACAACATACATATAAAGCCATCAACAGGAAAAGAAATAAGCTAAACTGTGTCTTTCTTATTGTACTGAGACAAATCACATCAAAACTGAAACAGCGTCGCATAGTGGTAGCAAAGAGAAGGGCAGCTTCAGATCAAGTGCACCTGATTAGATTGAGACACAAAGTTGGGCTTTTAATAAGGATTTTTTGGAGAGGTGGGGAGAGTATGTAAGGTTCATAGAGATGGGGGTGTGGTAGGTGGGGGGGGGGTGACAGAGCAGCAGCATCTAATTTATTGTGTTTTATAGATATGCTAGTGTTTCCCATTGCACTGCCTGACGCTTTATGCCAATAAAATACAAATGATGTCAGTTTGCAGTGTTGGGGAAGTTACTCACAAAAGTAATCCATTACAGACAGAGGTGGACAGTACAACTAGTACAAATCCAGACCAAGGTTTTGTTTCAACTAACTGGCTGAGTACTCTGTGACTGTGACTCTTTATACTCAATGGGTTGGTTGAAACAAAACCTTGGTCTGGATTTGTATTTTCTGGGCCTGAACTTTTCACCTCTGTCTGTGATGGATTACTTTTGCAAGTGACTTCCCCCACACCGTCAGTATGTAGGGCAACACGGAGGCTTGGGGGGAGCAGTGTTGCTGACAGCTGCAGGACTAGGTGTGTGGAGTGTTTCCCTCGTGTTGCTTGGGTTTCATGCTCCAGTCCAAGTGAATTGCCTATGGTGTGTCTTATGATGGACTGGTGTCCCACCTGGGCTGTTTCCTACCCTGGGCTGTCTGGAATAATGTCCAGCCCCCCCCCCCCCCCCCCCCCCC